CAGTACTGTAATTTTATACATTTCTTGTGAAAGAAACATTTCTTATTCAACGGCGATAAAAATTATTTATATTAATGATGTCTCCAAAGTTCAGCGAAGTTTTCGCAGAAAAATAACATCAGAAATCGCGGCGGCGGTTTGCTGAGTTGTTCCGCGACAAAAACAAGCTTTAGCAATGGCGATGTCGAATGGTACACACTCGGTAAGTAATCCTACAATTTTTTGTTTATAGCGTAGTTTATACGGATTATTCCCAAAAAAATTATGCGTATTTTGGAAATGTTGAATCGGATTAGTCTAGAATCGATTAATTTTATGGAAGAAAATCTTTCAAACAGCCGTAGTCCGTAAACTTCACACGTGTCGGACTGTGATTAGCTGTGATTCCTACAAAATCGGATTCATAAAGAACGGAACGTATCTACCGTCTTATAGGGGGATCGACTGTATTAATTGAATTTTAAATATTAGTCAGGGAAAAATTTGTGTGGTGCTTCGTTTATTGATCTAACAGAAAGGGTGTGCAAGATTCAATCTCCAAGGCCATCACAACTTTCAGACTGTAAGTATAAATATCTACAAAAATAATTATATGAATTTTATTCTGTACTGTGTGCAATTTAAATACTTACTTTACAAATCAAGTACTAGGGATTTTATGAAATTTTTTAATGTTTTCTGATATTTTAATTTTCAAAATCATTTCTCATAAATTGTTTTTTAATTAATATAAATTTTGAACATAAATGTAGTTTTAATTAGAGTTTAATTTTTGACAGTCTCATTTTAAAAAAAAATTAACTACTACTAGTAATTTAATTGTTCATTGATCAGTTTTGTTTCGATAGATAATTTTTAATGCTTAATTACAATAAAAATACTAGAACAACTTATTATTTGTCAATACTATAGTCTCAGAAGAAGAAGAATACGAATATGAAAGAGAAGCTACTTCGGAACCCGAACCAAATCTATTATTAGACACTGATAGGGTAATTGAACTTATAATTAGCTTTTTATCTTAGATTATCATTCATTGAACATGTACATGTATAATTGTTTGTTATTTTCAATTTAGGAGGATGAGCTTTCTCCCACAAACTCTCAACAAATAGGCTCTCTATCAGATGTCGAATAGATCGTCTCGTAATTATTTAAAGTTAATTTTAGTGCCAATAAGTTAAGATTAAATCTTACAGATTACTAAAATAATTTCAGTTGTTTTAGTTTTGATTTCTCTGCAAAATTATAACTAAAAAGCCAATTTTCATATTATAAACATATTATGATGAAAAATTAAGTATTTTATAAATTATGTTAGTCAAATTTTGTTATGAAAATGAATTTCATTCTTTAAAATCATTTACTTGTAAATTGTTGAAAATGAATATTCTATTTTTTAATTATGTTTATTAATTCAACAAATGAAAGAATGAATAGTATAACTGTAGAATAACCCAAAGTTGTTTATAGATGTACATAATCTTTGTAATATTTTGTAAAGTTGTTAAATAATAAATTCAATTTTAATATTACTGGAATTAATTTAATTTCTAGAAGTTAGAGGAGAATGAGGTCTGATCAAAAATTATCCTACCTTCGGCAAGAGAAAAGTATGTTGTGTTTTGACTTTTTACCTTAATCCACTTCAAACTGCTCCTTTTTTTGCTGCACACACACATTCCAACACGCTTTCCACTTTAATTAATTAATTAAAGTAATTTTGGAAATTGCCGTCAGTGCCAATGTCATTGTTATGAAATATCAATCCCTTTAATGGCATCTTCAGTTTGGGAGAGCTAAAAGTCGCACATAGCCAAGTCTGGTGAGTAGGGGGCTGTTGCACCTATGGTATTCTATGCTTGGTAAGAAACTTCTGAATTGGATACATTGAGAGAGAGATCATTGTGAAGATGAAGTTTCCAAGTATTTCATCATCACAGGTGTAGTCTCTTGCAAAAAATTGCATCCTGGTAGTGCTGAAGGAACTTACAAATGAGCCATTTATTTTGAAATTGGGGCAAGTCCAATTTTTGTTATTGCGAGATATTTAAAGGTTTGCATTTCAATAAATTTAAAAATATTGGTAAGTATTAATAGATATATTTTTAATATTTTGTGGTACCAGATAATGTAAGTTTATAATCCAATAGTGTTTACAGTGCTGACTAAAAAAAGTAAGAGTTTCATTATAACTAAATGGACTTTCCTCACTTTCAAAATTAATAAATTATTGTAATCGTTCATTTAATTGGGCATTTTTTCAGTTGCATTAGCCTTTTTTTAATAATAAAAACAAAATACTTTTCAAATTTTTATAAATATTTATTCATTTGATAAAAAGTGAAAGAAAACAAAGAATATTCTAGTAGAAAATATAACATTAAAAGAAATTCAGTTTTATTAAGAATTTCAATGAAATTATACATTTTCAGTTTATACGTAGGTATAATTAAATGAATTTTATTCAGGATTTAACATTTTAAAATATTCATGATGAACGGGAGGTATATATGGTAATAAATCCATCATGTCCTTGTATTTTTCAGATGTAATAGATCTCCTTTTTTCATACAGAAAAGATAACTTTATATTTCCGAAATTACTTGGTCTTCCTCGTTGTGGTGACAAATCGACAATTTTAAATTCAGCATCTCGTTCTATCGAAGTTTTGTAGAACATCTTGTATGGTGCATTCCTTGTAAATCTGATCCAGCATATATTTAACCAATTCCCAGTTTCTTCATCGGTATTTTCATTTCTTTTTAAAACTGCTTTCCCCAGAGGTTGGGTTGAAAAAAAAATTTTATGTTTTATTTCATGTACTACGAAATTGTTGAAAACATAATAAATTTTTATTAGTTTATAGTAATCCTGGGGAATATACAAGGAACTGGTTTTCCGGATTGCCATTTTAACCACTCCAAAATCACGATCATTTGGTAAAAATGAATATCCTGAAAATAAAAATATGTGATCAATGATATTTATTTCATTGTCACGGACTGAACAATTTTTTCATCCACATTAAGGCCGACTTTATGTTTCTATTTTGGCCAGTGCACATGTCACTATAAGCTGTAATGTGTTTTTGGGTTGTCACAGTCTGTCACAGTGCTTCAAACAACAAGATGCTGCTACTTGTGCTCCTCGGGATGCTATAGTTTCATCCCAAGCATACATACTAACTTCATCATTATGAAAATTGGGGAAGCCTTGATTCAATACATACATATTCCGCTTACATTTCTTGGTGTTGGAAGTAAATATATTATTATCAAAACACAAAATTAAGATATACTTTTTGTTATTTATGAAATATTGTACAACCACCGACTTTCAATATCAAAGATAGATAGATAGAAACACCCTAGATTTCAGACATGATGTCAAACGGCCACATTGCTTCACCATACAGCAACCGGAGCTAAATTTTGCCGTAATATATGCGGTCAAAANAGGTGCAATTTACATGTCTGATAATTATTTAAATATTATGTAAATTGAAAATTAAATTTGTTTGTATTATATGAGGGCTGTTTCTTTTTCAACCTCCAATAGTTCATAAAACAAAGACAAATGTAAATAACAAAATGAATTTATTACTGTAAGTTAGGTACAAACATGGTTGTTTTTCAACATAATCACCGTGAAAACTGAGGCATTTGTCTATCTGTGGATGAGCTTTGAAATCCCTCTTCATAGAATGTTGCCACCAATGATTTGAGATGGGCCCTAACATTGTTTTGAAGATTGTCATTAGTCTCAAACCTCTGCCCTCCTAGCTACGTTTTCACTTCAGGAAAGAGGTGGAAATCACTCAGTGCTAAATCAGAGTTATATGCTGGGTATTTAAAAGTGGTGAAGACTTCTACCCAGCTTGGAACTTTTTAATACGTCTTCACCATCTTTAAACACCTAGCATATAACTCTGATTTAGCACTGAGTGATTTCCACCTCTTTCCTGAAGTGAAAACGTAGCTAGGAGGGCAGAGGTTTGACAATCTTCAAAACAATGTTAGGGCCCATCTCAAGTCATTGGTGGTAACATTCTATGAAGAGGGGATTTCAAAGCTCATCCACAGATAGACAAATGCCTCAGTTTTCACGGAGATTATGCTGAAAAGTAACAATGTTTGTACCTAACTTATGGTAATAAATTCATTTTATTTACATTTGTCTTTGTTTTATGGACCATTTGAGGTTGAAAAAGAAACAACCCTTATATAATTTTTGTCATCTACATGAGATGGTTGGACTGATGAGGGACTAAGTCTAAAATGCATTTCCAATGTCAATGAAAGCATATATTTTTTGGATCTGATCTCTGACTCAGTTTTCATCATTTGACCTACAAGATGTGATAAGTCTAAAAATTAGTCAAATTTAGGCCACATACATCATGAACATTAGTTACATACAAGAAGCAAAAATCTATTTACTGTTGCCTTGGCTCTGCAAAGCATTACAAAGGTTAAAAAATACAAGCTATTACAGATCAGAGAAAAACAAATAATGCATAATACCTTTTATGCCACATAGAAATGTATAGAAGAGGGGATTTACAACAGATGTAGTGCAAATGTCTGTGTACAAATGGTCATGGAAATGTAACCAAGCATGAACAAAGGCACTGGGTACATGCAAGACAAATAGTATGTTAAACTCTATGCCAACTATTATATAAAATTGCACACGCACAGTCAGACAATGACCATCTGATAGTGTGTGTATCTAGTATTATACATGCAAGACACCAATAATAAGCCCAATACAAAACAAACCTAATTATACAGAATTTACACAGTAAGGTTAATTTTTTCCAAAAAATAGTCTAAGTATAAATATAAGAATACAGACAAATGTATAATATTTACATTACCTAACAAAATATGAACTGTTATTTACATCACATAACAATTCAAAAATGTTAGAGGGATATAAATGTACATACATTAAGACATGCAATTACACATTTATTTTGATGCAAATCTTGCCCATTGGACATCATGGGTAAAAAGGACCAGAGAGAATTATGACAAGTGAGTCTACAGGAGAAAATACCAAGAGTAAGACAAAATCATTTAACTATGTGCTCTCCGGAAGTAACAGATAACCAGTTCTTTAAAAGTTAGGGAAGTATCACTGAGCTCACTTAGCTGACATGGCCCTTTTAGGGAAGGAGGAACTTAATCCATTATTACTTGTCTTACAGTGGAACAGGTAATGCTCAATGCTGTATTGTATGCCACATATATCATCTCTGGTGGTTGCTTTCTAAATCTGAAAAAATACTGTCAAAAATGGCCAGGTTCTGTTAAGAAGTGGGTTGTTCAATGCCAAGGTATGTTAAAATAGATCAAGACATTAGGCAAGAAGAAATGTGTAGCAGCACATCTCTCTTCTTTATTCCATTGCTGTTGAATGATACAGGATTTTGTCATCACCAAGTCTGCCCTGTATTACACCTTGCTAATCCACATCCATCAACACCATTTTTCTATAGAGTGCATGCCACTGGGGGAAAGAATTACAACTAACTAGACTAGATGTATGCTGCCTAGCAGGTGACATCATATACGTGAATATCCTGCTGCAGAAATGTCACATACGCTTTTGACTATTTATCACAAAAGGAACAGGTGTCTTGTGAACCACGTAATTCACGATATTCTGAAAGGCACCTTTTCATTTGATAACACCTTAAGCATATAAATAGTGCATTTATCACTTTTCTTTCTTTACATATTACATGAACTGAGAAATGTTTGTTTTAACAAAAAATGAAGTAATGAATAACTAACATTTATATAGCTTTTTCTTTTTATAAGAATTTTTTCAAATTTATTAATAATTTTATATATTAATCAAATTTTAAATATTAGTCAGGGAAAAATTTGTGTGGTGCTTCGTTTNTTTGGAAATGTTGAATCGGATTAGTCTAGAATCGATTAATTTTATGGAAGAAAATCTTTCAAACAGCCGTAGTCCGTAAACTTCACACGTGTCGGACTGTGATTAGCTGTGATTCCTACAAAATCGGATTCATAAAGAACGGAACGTATCTACCGTCTTATAGGGGGATCGACTGTATTAATTGAATTTTAAATATTAGTCAGGGAAAAATTTGTGTGGTGCTTCGTTTATTGATCTAACAGAAAGGGTGTGCAAGATTCAATCTCCAAGGCCATCACAACTTTCAGACTGTAAGTATAAATATCTACAAAAATAATTATATGAATTTTATTCTGTACTGTGTGCAATTTAAATACTTACTTTACAAATCAAGTACTAGGGATTTTATGAAATTTTTTAATGTTTTCTGATATTTTAATTTTCAAAATCATTTCTCATAAATTGTTTTTTAATTAATATAAATTTTGAACATAAATGTAGTTTTAATTAGAGTTTAATTTTTGACAGTCTCATTTTAAAAAAAAATTAACTACTACTAGTAATTTAATTGTTCATTGATCAGTTTTGTTTCGATAGATAATTTTTAATGCTTAATTACAATAAAAATACTAGAACAACTTATTATTTGTCAATACTATAGTCTCAGAAGAAGAAGAATACGAATATGAAAGAGAAGCTACTTCGGAACCCGAACCAAATCTATTATTAGACACTGATAGGGTAATTGAACTTATAATTAGCTTTTTATCTTAGATTATCATTCATTGAACATGTACATGTATAATTGTTTGTTATTTTCAATTTAGGAGGATGAGCTTTCTCCCACAAACTCTCAACAAATAGGCTCTCTATCAGATGTCGAATAGATCGTCTCGTAATTATTTAAAGTTAATTTTAGTGCCAATAAGTTAAGATTAAATCTTACAGATTACTAAAATAATTTCAGTTGTTTTAGTTTTGATTTCTCTGCAAAATTATAACTAAAAAGCCAATTTTCATATTATAAACATATTATGATGAAAAATTAAGTATTTTATAAATTATGTTAGTCAAATTTTGTTATGAAAATGAATTTCATTCTTTAAAATCATTTACTTGTAAATTGTTGAAAATGAATATTCTATTTTTTAATTATGTTTATTAATTCAACAAATGAAAGAATGAATAGTATAACTGTAGAATAACCCAAAGTTGTTTATAGATGTACATAATCTTTGTAATATTTTGTAAAGTTGTTAAATAATAAATTCAATTTTAATATTACTGGAATTAATTTAATTTCTAGAAGTTAGAGGAGAATGAGGTCTGATCAAAAATTATCCTACCTTCGGCAAGAGAAAAGTATGTTGTGTTTTGACTTTTTACCTTAATCCACTTCAAACTGCTCCTTTTTTTGCTGCACACACACATTCCAACACGCTTTCCACTTTAATTAATTAATTAAAGTAATTTTGGAAATTGCCGTCAGTGCCAATGTCATTGTTATGAAATATCAATCCCTTTAATGGCATCTTCAGTTTGGGAGAGCTAAAAGTCGCACATAGCCAAGTCTGGTGAGTAGGGGGCTGTTGCACCTATGGTATTCTATGCTTGGTAAGAAACTTCTGAATTGGATACATTGAGAGAGAGATCATTGTGAAGATGAAGTTTCCAAGTATTTCATCATCACAGGTGTAGTCTCTTGCAAAAAATTGCATCCTGGTAGTGCTGAAGGAACTTACAAATGAGCCATTTATTTTGAAATTGGGGCAAGTCCAATTTTTGTTATTGCGAGATATTTAAAGGTTTGCATTTCAATAAATTTAAAAATATTGGTAAGTATTAATAGATATATTTTTAATATTTTGTGGTACCAGATAATGTAAGTTTATAATCCAATAGTGTTTACAGTGCTGACTAAAAAAAGTAAGAGTTTCATTATAACTAAATGGACTTGCCTCACTTTCAAAATTAATGAATTATTGTAATCGTTCATTTAATTGGGAATTTTTTCAGTTGCATCAGCCTTTTTTTAATAATAAAAACAAAATACTATTCAAATTTTTATAAATATTTATTCATTTGATAAAAAGTGAAACAAAACAAAGAATATTCTAGTAGAAAATATAACATAACAAAAAAAAATTCAGTTTTATTAAGAATTTCAATGAAATTATACATTTTCAGTTTATACGTAGGTATAATTAAATGAATTTTATTCAGGATTTAACATTTTAAAATATTCATGATGAACGGGAGGTATATATGGTAATAAATCCATCATGTCCTTGTATTTTTCAGATGTAATAGATCTCCTTTTTTCATACAGAAAAGATAACTTTATATTTCCGAAATTACTTGGTCTTCCTCGTTGTGGTGACAAATCGACAATTTTAAATTCAGCATCTCGTTCTATCGAAGTTTTGTAGAACATCTTGTATGGTGCATTCCTTGTAAATCTGATCCAGCATATATTTAACCAATTCCCAGTTTCTTCATCGGTATTTTCATTTCTTTTTAAAACTGCTTTCCCCAGAGGTTGGGTTGAAAAAAAAATTTTATGTTTTATTTCATGTACTACGAAATTGTTGAAAACATAATAAATTTTTATTAGTTTATAGTAATCCTGGGGAATATACAAGGAACTGGTTTTCCGGATTGCCATTTTAACCACTCCAAAATCACGATCATTTGGTAAAAATGAATATCCTGAAAATAAAAATATGTGATCAATGATATTTATTTCATTGTCACGGACTGAACAATTTTTTCATCCACATTAAGGCCGACTTTATGTTTCTATTTTGGCCAGTGCACATGTCACTATAAGCTGTAATGTGTTTTTGGGTTGTCACAGTCTGTCACAGTGCTTCAAACAACAAGATGCTGCTACTTGTGCTCCTCGGGATGCTATAGTTTCATCCCAAGCATACATACTAACTTCATCATTATGAAAATTGGGGAAGCCTTGATTCAATACATACATATTCCGCTTACATTTCTTGGTGTTGGAAGTAAATATATTATTATCAAAACACAAAATTAAGATATACTTTTTGTTATTTATGAAATATTGTACAACCACCGACTTTCAATATCAAAGATAGATAGATAGAAACACCCTAGATTTCAGACATGATGTCAAACGGCCACATTGCTTCACCATACAGCAACCGGAGCTAAATTTTGCCGTAATATATGAGGTCAAAAATAATTTCAATCTAAGATGGACTTGCACCACTTTCAAAATAAACATATTTTCAATACTCTTAAGAGCTAAAACTTCCATCTCCCAAATAGTAGAATCTGAATTTGTTTTTACTATAAACTGTTTACGCATAAAAGTATCATAACACATTTTATCTATAACTACCATTATATCCATTTTTTTTAAAAATGGACTTGCCCCACTTTCAAAATAAACGGCTCAAATAGTACTCTGAGATCCAGACCTCTCAGTCAAAAACCAACAATATACCAACGGGGCCGGTCCAAGAAATAGCGGGGCCCGGTGCAAGGTTGCTGTGCTGGGCCTTTTAATTAAAATAAATTGTGTTTATCATTAAATTATTATTTTGTTGTTCAAAACTACACCATCCGTTAAATAGATTAGCGAAAGTTAGTAAACTTAATGAATAATGAAATGAGCAGTTTTTAAATTTCATAAGAGTTACATCATTCAGGATCATGGGGCTTTGTGCGATCACACCGCCCACCAGCTGGTCCTGACCACAAAACTAATGTCAATAAACAGCTGATATATCCTTTACGTGAGGTTGGGATGCAAATAAATTGTCCGATGTAAAATTTAGTTGACACATTTTCACTCATAGATTGTGTGAGAGGGGGGGGAGTGACATTGATAGAAAATTTTGTGGTTACTTTAACAGTGTCAAAATTGAAAAAGCAAATGCTTTCTTGGAGAGATTGTGACTGAGGTCCTTGAGGACACGGCTATCTCTCCAAGAGGAAATAAAAAACCATTTTCTCTAATTTACGGGCAATCATTCAAAGAAACGTAACTCAACTCTTCAGGGCAAGAGGGGTAGTCATTGTTTCCATGACCCGAATTGTGCCCTTAGCAACAGGTCGGGGACCAATCAGGATGGGGGAAGTGATAGAACAAAACCAATATTGGAATTCTGTGACAAATTGGATAAAAACCTATGTTCTCGAGGACACGAGGTTGTCTTTGTCTGGTGGTTCTTATCATCCTCTTGGCCCACTTCATGGTTCCCATCCTTTGGTGCTTCCTGCATCCCTACTGGTTAATTACAAAATGAGCAATCACAAACAAGTCCTTTTTCTACCAAAGGGGACCAATCAACCAACATCGATCTTGTCCAGAGTATGAAGACCACCGTCGAGGGATACCAACATCATCTTTCTCTCCTTACAAAAACCACCTTCGAGAGATATCTATACACATTCTCCCCAAGAGAAGAAACCGATCAACATAATGTAAGAACCTATCTGTTATCCTAATAAATATGAATTAGCTTGTCAGTCAATACTTGTGTAGGTTGGTCTGCTACCACTATCCCCATACAGTTCCATCCTCTTGCATCATCCTGACAGAGAATGACAAACAACCCTATCTTTCATTGTAAGCTATGGAGTCTATACTGTATGAAGGCGTCAGTAGATTCCAACACTGTGGAGAGGCTTCACAATTGTAAATACTAATATATAAAATTTTTGTTAAGCCCAACCTCACTCGAGACATGTTTCGACGTGGCGCATGCACAACCTCCTCTATCTCCCAACTCTAACGACCTTTAACCACCAAAATTTAACAGCATTTACCGTGCCAAATTTCTTTTCTTAATTTTTACCCATTCCCGAGACAGGAAACAAAATAGATGCAAACATCCCCGGACACAAGGAATTGGTGTTTTTACTTTTTTTGAGTTCAGGAAGCCTCGAAAACGTAATTTAAAAACCCGGGAGGCTCAAATATGACACGATTACACTACATTGCATTAATTAATAACTGGGAAGTAAAAATTTGAAACGATTACAATAATTTTCCGTGTTATGTTAACACAGACGAGAAAGTAAAAGGGAAATTCTCAGAGTTGGATCTACAGTAATCTATATCCCCATTTTAAAGTAAGGAAAAACTATCATCATCGAATTACCCAGTTCGGGTTCGAAACCGCAACCGCGAGGTCGGTAGACCGAAGCGATCGTTCCGACTCAACATAACACGGACTTGTTTTCTAGGTTTACTGTATTGTATGTTTATTTATTCGATAGAGTATTTTGGTATATTTGAACTTAATTTAAACTTGCCACATACCACAATGGCAGGGTTACTAGATGAAATTAGGTGTTTCCTAGATTTCCTTACTGTATACGATAGTGTAATATTGGGTTAGACTGATGCAAAAGATCTTAACTTTAAGAAACGCGTACTCATTCATCGATGTTAACAAATTGAATTACTTTAATTCGCCGTTTTACACGTTATGGCGTAAAACAGATTAAGAATGGTGTCGTTAGCGCGAACACACAGGGTTACGACAACCGGATGCAGGGAAACTTTCGCTGACCGGTCGCCGCGCCCGTAGGGAACATGTCCAGAAAAACGTCGTGACATTACGTGGCGTTTAGGGAATTTTAAAAGTAAACATTAAAAGTCGGTACGGAAACATAATAACTACATATTTCGTTGATTTTCATAAGTACAAAGCATTATAACTGAAACAACAATAAAAGTTTACTGACAATTTAGTTTTCCCCATGTTGGTTCAATTTAGGCAATTCACTTCCGATGTTATTACTACAGAACAGCCAACATGTTAATGTTGGGCTGTTCTTTAGTAATAACATCGGAAGTGGAGTAAAAGGTCTCCAGCTATAACTAAGTCTTGCGTAGATTGTTTTGTAACTATTGTTCATCCTAGTGTATTTACAGTAAAACTAGTATGCAAGCATCAATTCATATGCTGGGCCCATCAGTGCCCAAGCGGTCGTCGTACCCTGAATACTGGGAGTTCGGTCCTGGGTTCGCGCCGTGTGGAGTTCTCCGGGTTTTCTCCATGTCTGTAACGCCTAAATAGGGGCGAGTTTCCCTTAAAAAGACCTCCCGGAAAGCATGATCGCCCGAAGTGTTGCGTTGCCATAACTTAACAAGTTAACAAACATTTCATATGCCTCTGTGTCCACCCGGTCACGAGATAAAATCGTGACCGAGAAAAGAGGGCGCACATTCCACGATGTTTACCCTTTTATGATCTAACAAGTTCCTTCTTAGTTCTGGCTCAACCTCCACTACCCAA